TTTTTTTTTTTTTTTTTTTTTTTTTGGTACTGTGGATCAAACTCAGTTTCTTCTTTTGATTGGAGAAATCAGTTACAAAATAGGTATGAGGGAAACTTTGGGCTGCCCTGGGTTAGGGAGCAAGTCTCGAAGGAAACAGGAACAAAAAGCGGAAGCCTCAGCAGGAGGAGACAGCAAAGCACTATAGAACATGAGGGTGCTTTAGAGCACAGAGTGCATTTCTGCTCATGTCTCATTATGCTCTCACAGTGACTTTGCGAAATAGAAAAGGTAACATCTCCAATTTGCTCAGGAACAAATGAAGAGCTAAAAGAGACAAAAAAGTTAAGTAACTTGACAGTCATCACAGAAATGGTAACTTGTAGGGAATAAGAAGTTCTAATACAGGCATCTACTTCTAAGCCTAATTCATCATCACTTGGCTGCTTCTCCATCTTGTTTGACTTCATGATGCTGACACAGATTTCATTTGCAAAAGATTGTATTACTTCACATCAACAGTGCATTACAAATTACAGCATGATGTTCAGCTATTAATATTCAAGAAAGAAGACATACTTTTAATATTTTTTCATTCAATTTAGCAATATGTAGAAATTCACATTATATTCACTACACAGAGAAAAACTTCTAGTCAAGAACATTGGTTTCTATACAAGACCTTTAAAACTCCATTTTAATAACCTATGAGGATGGTTTAGCAATTATTTGAAATTATATTTTCATGTATAATGTCATTTTAAATTGGAAAAATGTGATTGCTTTTATTCTTGTCACCATTTAAAAATGTCTTTGACCTTTGCTCAAATAACATTCAGATTATAATATGTCATATTAATTATGAAGACATTGTTGCAATTAATGCCCACTGCCTAAAGCTGAATTATCAGAAAGTTCAGAACTAAAGAGGGCAAGATGTCGCTTAAGATTTCTTTTCTCCTCTGGCTGTTCACACAACTTGACTTCAATGTTGCCATCACTGAATGCTTCTCCTTTGGTTTCCTCTATTTGCTTCTCTCTCCTGGATAATTTTCCTTTCTTCTGTATCATTGTAATTCCTGAGTTTCCATGCCTCCGTGCTGGAGACAAAGTTTCTTTTACTATGCAATAGCAAACTGCCGACAGAAAATTTTTTTTGAAGTTTTCATTCATAAACGCATAGACAATGGGATTACAGATAGAGTTGGAAAATCCAATTATTTGCACTATAGCAAAAACCATCTTGATTGTGACCTCATCATATTCCTTTTCAAAACTACCTGAAACAAAGCAATACTTCAGAATGCTTATTCATTTTATTAAGCATAAAAGTTTTAGTTATCATCTGTCTTTACCCAAAATTTGAACTTGTACAAATGGTTAAAGGTATGAAAAATTCTCAAGATAATTTTATGATATCTGAAAAATAACCTTTGTTTTGAGTCTTCATGTCTACACAATTTACTCCTGCATACATAGGCTATTGCTCAACATGTTTTAGCTTGGTGACTCAAATTATTTTAACTTGATGAGTCTAAGCTCCATGTAAACTAGAAGCAACATTACTCTTCAAATATTCACTTGGGTTCCAGAAATGCAATCATACTGAGAGTGACACGTAGTCCTGGGTTATCAGAGGACACATACTGAGGGTCTGACTGAAATCCCATGCATTATTAAATCCATAAGTACAAATCAAGTTGTAAATAGAGAAGACTCATATGATAATGTCCTTTCTCCATGTTAAATAGGTGTGGGAGATGAATCCCAAAGTTTTTCTTTATCTTTTCTAATAGCTAAAGGTTTAGTCATAGTCATGCACAATGACCTACAGCATATTGATCAGGTGATCTTGAAAACATGAAATAAATATATTCAGTATTTGATATATGATTACCCAAGAGAATAGCAATACATTTCAGTGATTCATTGTCCGTTCTGATAGGACTTGAACTAGAATGTCTATGAAGTGACAATGACAAACACTTACTGTATTCAACCATCATGTGCACAACATGGAAAGGTGCCCAGCACACAGCAAAGAGAGCCACCACTGTTACCATCATAATGACAGCTCGCTTCTTCTTCCTGGACTCACAAGGAAACACTGTATTGGTAAGTTTCCCTTGGCAAATATTTTGCATTCAAAACAAAGCTATTAGGTAAAGTTTGAACCTAATCCACTCAACCATAATTCTCAAAAGTTAATGAAGTTCATAATAGGTTATGGGATGATTATCAACTTTTTTCCATTGATATTAGCCTCATGCTTACATTCTTCATATTATAAACATCCCTGTGATGTGTGCTCATCATGGTCTGTCTGGTACTCTGTGGTATGCTTGACATGAGTTGGATCATGTTATTAATTGTCCCAATAAGATACTAGACAGATGCAGAAATTGAAGGACAGAGAAGGTTAAAGAATTTTCAAAGTCAGATGATCAATAACAGGTGTACTTTGGGTTTAATTTAGGCAGTGTAACTCCAGTGACTATGTTTTATTTGCTATATATTGAAAGGCATTCATGCCTGTGATAGTACACATCAATATTTATGAAATAAGAGGTCCTAAACATAGAATGAAAATTCAGTCCTTTATTATACCTAAATAATATGGTTGGCTAATTCAAAGTAACTTTCTTCTCTCCTATAAAGCAGATTTACATCTGTGAGACAGGTACACATTTACATGGCCCCTTAAATCTATAAAAAGTTTGGGCTCATAATCTCCCATTTCCATTCTTTCTTTTGAGGAAACAGGAGGGCTAAATCAGCAGTAAATGTTAGGTACTGAGCAGGGCTGGCTGGGCCCTTGCACAAGGAAGGATTTCTTTATAGAAACTGGGCACTAGAGGTCACTACACACTTGAAGAATTGATAAAATTCTGATTAAATCAGTATTTCTCCACATAGGGTATTGCTTGTTTTTGGTTTAATAATCATTTAGTACATACTATAAATACAAATCATATGAAGTACAAGTACCTTAGTGGTAAATTTTGTTCTAAAATTCTCTAAAGAAATCAGACAGCACAGCCATTAGGTAAAAATGAAATGTATCAATAATTAATTTTAATCATTGGCATATTCTGGTTTCAAACAGTTTTCATACATGCTATCGCCTGTATTTTGTATCATCTGTGAGTGGGAGGAAGTAAGGATGGGTGTTGATCTGTTCCCTTGTACCTGAGAGGATAATGGAGGCTTAGAAACAAGAGTTGCTCTACTTCCGATGGCTGGCAAGTGATGGAGGATAGCCCCTACCCAGTCCTGACACCTCCCCGCAGCTTTCCTTCCTGTTATGTCATATTTGCATATAGATGAAAATGTAGCAGTGTTCTAAATTCTAAGTGTGTTTCTATCTATAACCTAAATTCTTTGATTTAAGAACTGACAATCTTGCTCTTTCTTTCTGTCACACATAAAACCTTAAGGATTTAAATTCTCCCCATGCTTTCAATTTGAATTAAAAATTATGCATTGACTAAATTACTTACAGGTTCTGTTATCTCTAACAATTGTCCCTTCCAGCACAATTTTAAATGCATTTTTTTAGGCAGAGGTGAATATTTCATTAGACAGACCTGGCTATTTTGGACATTTCTTTTCCATGAATAGTACGAAGCACTGAACCATCTTCCACTCTTTTCTTGATCCAGAGTTCATAACTGATCTTACTATACAGGACAAGCATCACCATAAGAGGCAGGAGGAACAGGATGACAAGGATGAAAGTGGTATAGATTTTCTGGTGCACAGGACTGGCCCACTCTTCTAAGCAGCAGATATGTTCTTTATCATATAGGAAGTCATACTTGATCTTTACAATAAAAATAATTCCATTAAGAACCAACAGACAGCATAAAAAAAAACAGGTCAGTATTATTACAATGTACAGTATTTTTAGGTTTTTTAAAATTTTCTACATTTACATATTTTAAATAACAATTATTTTTATTATACAGTATTTTTTTAGAAAGTGTAGCTTTTCCACTTGAACGTTTAAGTTCTTAAGAGTTTGTATTTTTCTATTTCAAATGGAATTGAGGTCCACAGCCTGTTTACTTTCATTTTTATCTTTATCAACTTTTATTTTCATTGCTCATACATTTTCAGTGTGCTGAAAGAGCACAATTACTAAAAGTCAACATTAAAAAATTCCATTATATGACAGCTAGTTCAATGTTAATTAAATATATCAATTTTTATTTGGTTATTCCATTGTTCAAAAACAGGCTGGCAAAATCATCTGACATCTTCCAAGTAGAGGGCATTGAAAGCCATGTTTTTAGTACTATTTCATATTGGAATTATCAGATTTCTTAGAAACATATTAAAAGGGAAACTGTTAGCTTTTAAATTCTGAAATGAATGAGAAATGGTATTCAAATTATTGCCAGTCTATAAATGTTCAGATTTTATTTATTTGTTTGCTTATTTATACCGTTTCTGCTAGAATCATCTTATAAGTTCTAAAATATTAACAGAAATACTAGCAAATGGTAAAGGGCATATTTAGAAATTAAACAAAATATTAAAAGCATATTAAAAAAATCACATCTTTAATGGTTACCAAAATAAGATAATTTATCAAAACCAATGTCATTTTAGTCACTCTGAAATTTTCCAGATGAATATTTAGATCTTGGACATATTTTTGCCTATATTCTCAAAAATTTTTATCACCAGTTTTCCACAGCAATGGGAAAAGGTAAGAAAATTCAAGTTCAGATCAAGATGTTATTAATAAAAACAGCCAGATGTGATAATCCTTATTAAAAAATAAGTTCAAGGTTCAAACTCTCTGTGAGTAGGACATAAATGTGAAATTTATTCTGACTCCATGTAAGCAAACCCTGCAAGGGTCAATGATCCTGAGGGGTTATGGGTTGATTTATAGTCCTTAAACTCAATGTTAGACTGATAGGCACCAAGTTGGTTCATGTATCCCTAGGGATAAGTAAGGAATTTCTGATACATAGATTTATGGCAACCAATTTCTGACCTTCTACTTCTAGACATGCCCTTCTCTGAACTTCTACTGCTTAAGAGTGTCTGAAATTGAGATTTCATGCTGGGTCTACTTCCTTCTTAATGATCACACACTTCCTTCTTAATGATCACACACTTCCCAACTTATAAAAGTCATATCTCTCACCCGATCCAAACTTTACCCCAGGACACCAAAGAGATGTCGGGGAAGAAGCATCACAAGCTTGTGATGATCCAAGCATCAAAAGCCCATGGTGGGCCTTGTACTTTTCCCTTTCTTAAATACATTTTCCTGAAAGGTTAACCTTGGCATTAGAATGGTATTTTGACAAGTGCAGGAATATTGTGAATTCATGTTTTCATACAAGTAGGAGAAGTGGTGAGAATTTTAATTTAATCAGCTTCTTTCTTCCACCCCATGAAAATAATCAAACACATCACTCCTGAGAGATGACCCAGAGAATGAAGAAAAAAAATTTGATGAGAAATACTGAAGAAGGTGGCACTTTGTACCATCCAGGTGGGAATTTCAAGCTACCTGCATGCCCACTCACAGTGTTTTTAATAGAATTTAAGAGTGAGGAGATGGCCATGGGATGCATATGAATACACATTTTTAAAAAATGAAATCAGACTTTTTCCTGAAAGGAAGCAAATCTGATTTGGCTCACCTGTTGGACAGAGGGGGTGGCTTTATTAAAATTAGATTATACAGAATGCATTTTCTACAAAAGTTTACATGAGTTGTATGTTTAATAAATAGAGTGTATGTTAAAATAATTTTATTTTGAAAACTGATGCATTTGTTTGTTTTCTGTGGGACAGAAATGGACCCCACAATTGGAAAATATATTGAGTCATTTATCAGAGGCTCCATCAGCGCAAGTTTCCTTCTGCAGAGGAGTCAGTATCTCCAGAAAGGAGCTGGTGAAAGTTGTATGTGGCAGGTGAAAGGTCTTCCCAAGCAAAGGACTAGGGGATAGAGTAACTTGAAACCTCAGTGATTTGATTTTGAAACCTAGGAAGTTAAAAACCAATCAAAGTCCACAGTCTTACCCCGAGGGCACCAATTCCAGAGGACAATTGCCCCTTCCTCTCTAGATTCTCATGAGCTCCAGAAGGAAGAGAAGAGCAGTTAATTGAACAGGGTGGGGACAAGGAGAATGAGAGCTAAGAGGCAAGAAAATGAAAAATTTACCATAATCCCCTTCACAGTTTAGATTTAGATTCAATTCAAGCTGAAGGAAAGGCAAAGTTTAAATGGATCAAGGGTATGGATTTATGTGATTGTGTATTAAACTGGACATTTTATATTAGAATGCACACAGTTCTTATGCCTGAGTTTGGTTACTATACTGACTAGAGGAATTACAGGGTCTGCTCAAGGTTTCATTCATGATCTTTTATCATAAAGACTGGCTGGTTTTTAGATAACGCTTTTATAGGTAGCAAGGAATAGAAAAAGTTGAATTCTGCTCCCACCTACAGAGCTCAGCTCATTCAGTATGCCAGTTACATTAAAAAAAAAATACCAGGCTACTTTTTAAATGCAGTCTTCCCTTAGGGTTCATCTCACCACCGTGCTGGTGGATGTGTTGTGCCCAGTGTTGATATTTTCCTGTCTCTATTTTTAAAAGTACAAAGGGTTATATCATTTTATAAATTGTATGGGGACAATATGAATATCCCCTACTATCTTTGAAGACTACTGTCCACATCGGAGCACAAGATATCAAAGAACAGGCTGGACTGCCTGTACCAAAGCACTGCTCCTTTTACTGGTCCCATCTGACAAAGGTATATTGTCTAGGATGATCACCTAATGTATTTCTGACTAAAATTTAAAAAATGAAAAAGGACTTATGGAGGAGAATCAACTAGTAGGTAGATAATCTATTACAAATTTCTATATGACTTGAACGTAAAAGAAAAATCAAAGTAATCATTGTAACAAGATACTGGGGGATACCAGGGAAAATATGCTTAGATTCCAGGAAAATATAGAAAGTGACCTTGGATCTTTAAAAGGGGTTTATTTTAAATCTTAACTATACAGTATCAAAAAGATCTGGGTAAAACAGGAAGAGCAACCTTAAAACAAATATTTTATTTCATATGAAAAACTTCTGGTGAGGTAACTGAGATCACACAAATTAACTGTTATGCTCTTGAAAGAAAGAAAATGATTATAATTAAGCCCTGTGAGCCTTTCAATATTATGATTATCAGCCCCAGACCCAAATCTACCTCAAGTCGTTGCACGTGCCACATGGGTGAGCCTATGATGACTGCCACCAGCCAGACCACACCTGCAAAATGTGGAAAACATCAGAACATGAATCAGCTAAGTAAAATGCATCCACATGTGATTCTCTCACCAAAACTCCCTTTCTCCAGTGCATCGCATTTCTTCTGCCCTAGGGCAGGCAACAATCTCACAGGCTTTCAATTCTTTTACCACTCTTGAAACTATTCCTACAATAGTCATCCTCAAAGAAGTGTTAAATGTTAAAAACATTTTAATGTTCTATTATTGCCTATGAGATAAACCCACAATTTATGCCATTGCCCATGAAGTTCTCTCTCTCTCTCTCTTTTACTTCCATGCATGGTCTTCACATCCCATGGAGCAAAGTAAAGAGTTGGTTTTGGTTCCCTTATACTGATGTTGGAAGGCTGTCAATTATTAAAAACCTAGAGATCTCTGAATTCTTTATAGGGAAGATGTGACATAATCTGAAGATAACTAATTAAAATCCATTAACATTTACCCTGTTGTTTATCTGTTCATTTCCAGCTATTTAAAATTTTAGGATTGTAAAGTCTTGAGTTCTTCCTGTAACTTCAGTTCAACACTAGATACATTTTATAGCAGTAATAAATGACTGCTCATTCCTTTCACATAACATATCAATAAAACTGCTGCCTTTGATTACCATTCTACTTGTTTTACTATGTCTCTGATTACTTAATGATGTTAAATTTAAACCACTGTGAAGCACATTAACATTTTAAGTGTTCAGTTATAATTACTGAGTGGAGTCTTCCATTTTACTGTACTTCAGGATATTCTTTTAAATTTATAATTTATCACGAGGTATGTGTCCCTCATAACTTGCTGAACCAAGAATGGCTATAAGGAGCTGAGGACCGAAGAACATTTGAAGCAAAATTATGAAGTGGGTGGAATGTGTCTCTGCAGTCATCTCCGGGACTGCTCTGGATTGTCACACATGCTGTGACTTTACACTATTCATTATGTACTCACCTCCAGGCCCATTCCAGGACACTGCTCTTCTACACTTTCTAGCACATTTCCTGCCTCCAATTATAACCTTCCTGCCCTTGTTAGCTTAGAACATTTTTGCTTAAGAATGAGGAGTCCCTAACCTATCGAACATTAATATGGCAATGCCACTGACTTGTGATAGATTAGTTCAAAGCTCTGTTTCAAACTTTCAAACTTAAACTGAAGAAGCACATCCAAAATGACAGATTTTTAGTGTTGAGGTAGGCCTAATGGAGAGATGAGGATGGATAATGCAAACAGAGAACTGAAATCCTCAAATTGTATTGTACCCTAATGCTTCCAAGTTGAGCAAGAAGCGACCCTTTCAGCATATAAACACGGTACACTTTGTTCCTCATTACCACTTTCCTCAGCACACCTGGTGACTCACCTAGCATTGTAAAAGCCCTTTGGTTGGTGTACTGCCACTTCATTTTGAAGGGGTGAACAAGTCCCTGGTGCCTTTCCACGGCAATGCAGGTCATTGTGAGAATTTCTGTCACAACAGCAGTAGACTGAACAAAAGGCACCATCTTGCAAATGAAGGCACCTGCAGAAAGGAAATAAGTCATACATCAGAAACAATAAAGTTTCATCTGTCTCTTTGTAATTATCAGTTTGCTAATTCTGAGCCTTTGCTCAAAAGCCTTGTGACTGACAGAATTATTGATACAGAATAATTAAGAAAGTTTGCATTGGCTTATGTTTTCATCCTGTGACTAGATTATAAATTCCCAAGTGCTATTAATTATGTATAAATAAAACAGTGGGAGAACCAATCAATATTTAGATATAGACAATAGAAAAACATCAGATCAGTGTGATCACCAGTTGAGGAAGAAAAAAATCAGTGTGAACTAGTTTCCCGGCATCTAAACTATAGACTAATCTTTGTTTTTTTCTTTCTTTTTGATTCTCTGTCATATCAAAACAAAGGAATAATTCTCATTAAAGACTCTCAGATTTTCATTTATTTTTAATCTCTTTTACTCCAAGTCTAAAACTTTATACTGTTGAACTTTTAATAAATTTCACTTTCTTTAATACAAAAATCTCAAACTGGTCACAGGCAAGATTTGACCTGCAAACATGATTTGTTTAGTTTATATATTTTAAAAAGTATTTCAGTACATTGCCAATATCCCTAAATGCTTATACTACCTCTTTGACTCTTTCACCATTTGAATTTTGGAGAACCTAGTCTAGGCATCTTTGCTCTTGAATTCATCTTGATCACTGCTTCTAAATGAATTATTTCCAACTATCAGAAAATCAAAAGCTTGGGGCATATAGAATTAGAAGAGACCTCAGAGGGCATGTAGTTCAGGTGGGCATGAAAAGCAGAAATCTTCAGCTCATCTTCTCTCACAGATACTCTGGTTCAATACCTTCACAGGAAGCCTCCTTGATTGCAAATTTCCATCCAAAGTCTTTGCATGTCATTTCTTCCTTGTGGGGCTGCTGTCATCTACAATAACTCCCTCACAGAGTTCACTGAAGTCTTGGCTCAAAAGGCACTGGGATGATGTGTTAATTTGACTGAGCAAAGGGATCCCTAAATGGCTGTGATAACACTTTTTAGTTGTGTCTGTTGATCTATTTCTGGTAGAAAGTAACATTTGTATTAGTAGAGTGAGTAAAAGAGATGTGCTCTCCCCTGTGTGGATGGAATCATTCTATTTGTCCAGCACATGAGTACAAAATAAAATGGTAGATGAGAGACTTTTCTCTGCATAAAATGAAACAGCCATTTTTTCCTTCACTTTTTTTTCTCTCATTGAGTTTCTTGGTACATTTTAGGTATACAGTACAGTTACATACATGATTGGGATCTTGTACCTTTGCATGACAGGTCTTGGTTCTCATTTTCTCCTCATACCCCCACCCTCCCTTCACCCCCTCTTCTTTTTTCTATTTACAAATACTTTATTTCCATTTTTTCATTTTCTCATATTTTTTCTTTTCCCTTATTACTTTTCCCCTACCATTTCCACTTTCCCTATGCCTTTAGCCCTTTTCTTCCTATTTCACATTGTCAATTATGTCATTGGGATCTTATGTACCATAATAGTTTTTCACACCAGAGAAACTATTTGGTATCTGTACATGTGTGATTTATTTATTTCACTTAGGAGTATATCCTCAAAATGTATCCATTTTCTTATGAATGACTCTAATTTCTCATTCTTTATGGCTGAGTAGTATTCCATTTTATTAAAAAACCACATCTTTTTTATACAGTCTCCAACTGATGGGCAAATGGGCTGTTTCCAAGTTTTACCTGTTACAAACTATGCTGCTATAAACATAGGTGCACATACATCACTGTGATATGATTCTTTTAGTGCTTTCAGAAAGATACTCAGCAGAGGGATGGCTGGGTCAAATGGAACCTCTAGTACCAGCTCTTCGAGTTATCTCCATATTGATTTCCATAGTGGTTGCACCAGTCTGCACTCCCACCAACAATGGAGAAGGGTTCCTTTCTCCCCACAACCCTGCCAACATTATACAACAAATTTTCCTTCACTTTTCCATCAGCACTTCTGGTTCTCAGACCTTTGGGGTTGAACTGGAGCCACACCAGAGCTTTTCTGTGTCTCTGATTTTCAGATAGCAGACTGAGGGGCCTCCGTTAATATCTCAGCCTGTCCCTCAAAATAAATTTCTTCCATATACTTCTGTAGATCCTTTTCATTCTTTTTCTTCTGGAGAGCCCTGACACAGTCACCTTATCAGAGATGTCAACCTAATCCAAAAATCATATGTTTAATGGGAGCCTGTACTATTGCATTTTTGTTTGCTCTCATTCCTCACCTTTCACTTTTTCATAACTTTCACCTTTTAACATATTGAGTTATGTGGATGGGTACATGCATATATATCAGAATATCATGATATAAATGTATATACATATATGAGTACTGCGTGATGTATAATATATAACTAATCTGTTTTTATTCTTTATTGTAAGTCTTCTATCTCTACCAGAATATAAACACCTAATAGCAAAGACTTGTGTCTGTTTCCTTCACTAACATATTCCTAAAATTTAGAGTGGCACCCAGTAGGCCCTCAATAAATATTCATTGAATTGAAGAGAAGGAATTACTAAGGGGTCCTTAACCCCCAAAGGAATCCCATTCAGTTTTGGAGAGACTGTCATAAAAAGGTAGTTTTTGGTTCTAAGCATTCCTGGTATTGCTTTCAGAGCTCAATACTAACCAAGAGTCTTTTCCAAAATGCTGTTCCCTGCATAGTTGAAAGAAGCTTTTTGTTATCTTGTCTTTTCTACTTACCCCAGCCATTTTTTATTTGTTTTTTGGACAATTCAACTCCCTGGATCCTGTCAACAGGAGCTCACTATGCTAAGGTTGTAGGCTGGGCCAGGCAGAAACTGTGGGACTATGTACTCCCTAAGTCTTCTGTGATTGTAACTAGATTCCTGTCAGCATTTTGTGTTATACTTTTCAAACAGTTGGCCTCTGTTGAATTTGAAATCAATTTAATATGAGCTGGGTCAACTTAATAGAATTTTTTGTTAGCCTAGTACTCTTTTACATCCTCTCCTATGAGTAAGGAGAAAAGAAATTTAGATACCACTCTAAAAACTACTCCCTTCTCAACCTCTTTAGAATTTGAAATGGCAACCCAAGAGCTAATGCCTGTTCTAATTGCCCAAATTCTAACCTTGTTCAAAGTTAAGGCCCTGCCTTATTTAGAAAAATACTGTAGTTTAGATGTCAAGGAGAGGAATTTTCTCTCAATGCTAATAAATTTCATTGTGTTTGAATATTTACATTGTCATTGAGTTAACTTACCTCTAATTGTGCTTTGTATGTAATATTTAATTTTTTTTTTTTTGGTACCAGGGATCAAACTCAAGTACTTGTGCTTGTGAGGCAGTGGATGTGATATTCAAATAAATGAATAAACTATTAATCCTGTTTGTTGTAGTTTTTTCTTAAAATTTTAATAGAATTTTTTAAAAATTAATTTTATTGGTACATTTAATGTATGCAGTGCAATGACATTCGTCATTGGAAATTTGCACCTTTTACATAATCCATCTTGGCTCTTCTTTTTTCCCCATTTCCCTGCCCTTCCATCAGCCCCTCCACCTCTCCCTATCTACAAAGACTTTGTTTCCATTTTTTTCTTTTTCTCACATTAATTCCATTCCCATCTTTCTTTTTCCCCTACCCCTTCACTTCCTTAATAGAACTTTTCTATGCTTTTCAAAAAATTATTTATAAAAATGTTAAATAGTCTAAGTTCAAAGAAAAACAAGAATAAAATTTTCATGAAATGGAATTAGATGCATTATCAGTATATTTTAGGTATAACTATAAAAACGAATAAGAAATTTCTTATAATGTTCACTGTAGTGTTATCTCATTTTAAATACATTATTTTTGTCCATCATGATGCCTTAGGACATATATCAGTTGATTTCCTGATATCAGGATATTCTTGATTCATCTGATCTATTAATTATCTCTTTTGAGCCTCTGATTTCATCATTTACAAAAAGGTGTTAGTAATATTCACCTGTCCTAGCACTATTTCAAAAAATGACATAAATGTCCAGGACAAGATATTATTTTAAAATAGGCAGGCAGCCCAATTAATAGGAATTAAGGTAAATTTAGTACACTTGGAGCTGAATTAGTAAAGGACACCTAATTTAATAGCTTTATTTTCCAAATGAAAATACTGCATTTCAAAGGAATTAACTGATTTGCTCATGTCTACATGGCTACTCATAGACAGAATGAGACCATGAACACAGGCTCTCTGACTCTAGTTTGTTTCCTTAGATCACCCTCAGTTATCTTGATGCAGCTATGCTATGTGACAGTTTTCTTGTACACATGCTCATAAATTATCTGGTAACTTACTTAAGAATTCTGCACCAAGCTGTATTTCTAGAATCTGTCACCTTACCTTTAAATAAATGGAGACAGCATTAGCATAACTTCTGACATTTCTCATACAAACTTCCTAAAAAATTGCCACAGAGGTTCCTGGATCACATGTGCAACTAATCTTCAATATTGTGGCAAGTGATTTTTCTAAGATGTAGGTTTTAAATTCTTTTAAAAGCATGTAGCTGTTCTTTTAGTATAGACTCATTTATCTTCAATATTTATTTTTATTCAAGCCATCTCTGTCCTTTTTAATTGGAAGAACATTTTTTCAAGGTCTATAAGACCAAAGCAAAATAGACATTGAAGAGTTCAGCATTTTCCTTTCCCTTCCTTAAGATTTTGTTATCAACCCTTTTTCTTTCTTTCTTTTTCTTTCTTTCTTTCTTTCTTTCTTTCTTTCTTTCTTTCTTTCTTTCTTTCTTTCTTTCTTTCTTTCTTCTTATTCAATTCCTTTTTTATGGTAAGCTCTGATGTCTCTTTGGCCAGCTTTTTCCATGCTTTATCTTTCCCACTGTCAATCACATAGGTATACTCTGTTTTATAAGAACAGTGGCATTTCTTCTCATAAATAGCACTTTTAAGTTGGAATAATCCTAAATTCCCTTTTTAGGGCATTTTC